GGGGCAAAAAGGTTAAACTGGATCAGAAGAGTCCTGATTGAAACGGGTGAAAAGGGGCAAACTCCTGGAGTTGGTGCACACATAAGCTAGCTTTTTTCATCATACACACACACACTGACGGCACGGGAGGAGGTCCCCCTCAGTGTAACCCTAGTCTACTCAGGCATTTCCTGATGAAAGATGGCCTGGTCCAGGAAACAGCATAGTCGGATATCGCCCTGGCTCTGAAACAATGTGGAGCAGAGTGGTCAAGAGGAAGCCTGCAAGGAAAAACTCTCTTCAGTTAAAGAAATGCTAATCTGCTCTTAATGGACAAACGAGTGCCAGCGTTGCACATTTAAGATAGAAAGAACTCTTTGACATGAGTAGATGGAGTATGGTGTTCCTTGAGATAATGCTTAGAGATGTATAATTATTTGACACTATCCTTAATTCATAATGCATTGTCTTGGCTATTTTTGTCAACCATGACATAGAATCAGATTTTTTTTTAAGATTATAAGAGCCTAATCTCAAAGATGGTGGAAGATATTTAAATAAAAGATCTTAAAAAAGAACACTTACTATACAGAAAGGATAATAACTAGATGCCTAATCTTAGTATCTCCTGTAGCTTCTTACAAAAACATAGCAGGGTCACAACAGGGCAATTTTGATGAAAACCAATTAGAAATTTTAAATGTAGCAGTAATTGCAGTCTCTCACTCTTTCGCTCACATGCACAGCTAATTATCAGCTCATTAACACCTAAACCAAGCTCTACTTATTCACTTATACACATTCAGGCATAGCTCTCTGGTGACTGAAATGATCCTTTTTTCTCCAAACTGCACTCACACACAGGGTGAATCTGTACACTGACCATAGCTTAGATCTAACTAACAGTCAAGCTTCTGATAGATGTTGCAATTTATCAAACCTCTCTAGTGTTTGACTATCTTAAGTGGGATTAATTTGGCATGAATTCTGGGAAAAATCAAGAAAACTAAAACATATGGCTGTGACCGGGAGTGACCGCATCGAACTCTTCAGCTCAAGCAGAGAATTGTTCTTCTATAAGAATGCAACAAGTAATGTTACAAGGTCATTTACTGAGAGAATTCAGTGGGTGTAGCAATACAAAAATACATTCCAGTAGTATAAAATCTCGTTGCAGTGCTGATCTGTAGCATACCTGAGCTGCAGTAGTTTCTTATTATGGAAAGACACCAAAACCTTTTTCCTTCATTATCACGTGCTCCACAATGTTAGAACCAAAAATTATGAGCCGTGTTTTTCTCTTTTTTTGCCATTTGATGCCACTTGTCAGGAGGTGCCCGTGATCTTTACCATGGAAACATGGGTCTTTTACCGTGTTCACATCATATGGGACGGATGATAGAGACAGGAAACATTTCAATGTTAATGACTTGAAATGTTCACATTATCAATACGGTTGTATAATTACAGAGTTGGTTTCCATTTACATTAAATTTGGGTTTCATTAGACTGAAGGCCAGACTCAGGCTAATGTGGCGCACGCATGTTTGTTTGATTTTCAGGAACTTCTGTATTCTCAGTTGTAATTGTGACTCCCATGTTGATGTGAACGCTATTTACAAGTCAGAACCTCAGAATTTATAACTCCAATATGGGGATAGGCAATAAAATGATTCCAGTAATTTCCACAAAAACAATTCCCTCAGTAATAATAATAAAATGACAAGCAATTTATGATAAATGTATCTGTTTAGAATTTGGGTCAGCCCTCATCTGCACATTTACCCTAGCTGGCTACAGCAGTAGGTTGCAGCATGCAGGGTCAAAACAGGAGAAAAAAAAACCCACGTTGCTAGAAACAAAAAATGAGCGACCATGAGGAGAGTCTCATGTACAAGACAAAGAAACTGTGACAAACAGAGCTCACAGGACACGGTTCAGGTGTCTCAAGATAAATAATCAGCAAAGCAAAGTATGCGACCTGCACCGACGAAGAAACATAACAAACCTTTTTCACCAGCAGTCGCACCTGTCTGCCTTTTTTAAAGCACCGTTACTGTTAACACTTTGAGGTGTAAATATGATACCATTTTGGCTGTAGAGAGCATCAAGCTGATGATATGCAACGGCAAGCATGAGGATGATTGATATTTATTACCTTTGGCTCCCCCTCCAGTTACATTAGTGTAATTCACAGTTACACCATTGTTGTAAATACCAGTCGCACTTCTGCTGGTCCTCATGGACGGCAGTACATGTGCATTTGTTTACAAGCTGAAGCTGTTACTGAAAGGCCAAAGAAAACATAAGAAACCAAAGAATGGCACAGTAATATGGGCTTATTTATCGCCTAGTTTTATTTATTGTCGCATCAAGGATGAACACTCGTAATAAAAAAGAACAGCAAATAAGAATGACAGTTTTTGTTTGTTTTTGTTTTACTGAAATACTGCTTGCATTTTCAGCCCAAATAGATAGTTTGCTAAGCGTTTGAATGTGGATGTGTGCAATAGAATGAAACGCTGTTGGCAACATGATATAGCCTGAGACAGGGGATGACCTCTTCCTCACTTACGCAATATCACCTTCACTGGTTTCTTTGCCACCTCTGCCATGTTGAGCCGTATATACCTAGCTGGCTGCTTCATATAGCTAGATGAAGGGACTCGATGTAGCTGTGTGTGACATGGTACCCTGAAGCGTTACACGGTTTTTGCAAGAGGTCTCTGGGATGTGATTTCAAAGTTACATAACAAATGATCCAAGTGCGAAATGGCAATGGTAGAGATGCCATTCTCCTTATTACAAGTCAGTGTACCATCAGCATGATTTTGAAACTGTTATTTTAATGTAAAAATTCTACATTTTGCTTTAACTTTATCAAATACCCCATTTCAGAATCTAAAGACTCACTCAGAGCTATCTGTCAAAATGATTTTGCGGGATGGTAAATATCTAAATAACTCACAAAGAAACTAAACAGCTATACCTTGAACATTGAGCCTCAGCATTAGTGCTAATCACATAGCATCACACGCCTGCAACCGCTGAGTGTAATTACCATATAATTACATCCTGATGGATAATTAATACTTCACATATTAATAATATCAGCCAAAGCTCAAAAGTCCACATAGATACAGTACAAGTGATGTGTTATGTTAGTGAAGTTTAGCAGACAGTGACGTTTGACAAAATACCTAAATAACTTACCAAAAGTCACCGACTCTATAACTAATGTTATGTAAAATGCAAAAGATACTGTGCCAGAGATCCAATAAAGACATTTTACATAAATATTAATTAGGAAAACGGCTCATATAGAAAGCTGCAGATGTGTCATTTAGGCTGACGGCAGCATGTTTTATCTGTCTAGTGTGTGTTTTATGGTGTTTGAGGTTTTCACAGCCTACAATATACGTATATACTACAATACATTATTCATCTGACAAGAACCTGAGGTTTATTAAAAGGTTTATAAGGTTTTTAATAAGACTGCACTAGTTGGAAATGAGAATATCTCAAGATAAAAATAAAAATATAACATATAAAAGAGTGAGGCAGTTGAGGTGATATACAACTACAAAACAGTTGAGAACATTATCATATGAAATGCGTTGTTTCGGTGAAGTTATGTACATGAATAAATCTGTATTTCTGTGGAAAGCCAGTGATTGTTGTTGTGTTTCCAAGTTGCTTTGTCACATTGTACAAAAGGGTCAAATGGAGCCAAGAACAGCCCAAACTATCACACATTAAAAAACAGCCTGCAGTTATGTAGAGCAGCACAGAAGAGGGACTGAAATTGGAATGTATTCAGCAGCTCTGCAGGCTCGGTGTTGAGGTCAGAGCAGTGGGTCACCAACCCCAGCAACAACACCAGCCAACTCATATCAGAACAAACAGGAAAAAACACAATTTAAACTCAGGCTTTGACAAACCTTACTTATTTTGGGATCTTTTTAACAAATTGGCATTCCAGTGTCTTAAATGGTCCTGTTCATGTAAATTATTATTAAATTCTATATCCACTTCCAGCATTTGTACTTAACTTAGGTCGTTGGGGTGTAGGGATCACACCAATGTAGCTTTCATACAGTCTAAATTGTTAAAATTTTTTGATTTAGTGGGATATAAGACTGCTGTGTTTATGTATAAAGCCAGGAACAATTTATTACCTGGTGGAATTCAAAAACTATTTAATGAAAGGGAAGGGGGATACAATTTAATGGTGTATGAATGTTAACACTTTGTAATAATTCTTTAGTATATTACTTGTGTGGTGTAGAAGATAATTATTTAAGAATGTAATTATGTAAGAATGTTAACACTGTTATAATTTTTTTTAGTATATTACTTGTGTGGTGTAGAAGATAATTATTTATGTAGAGATACTGCTTGCAAACCAATGATGGTAAGATGATGTCATGGGGTAGGACTGGATAAGTCTGACTTCTTCCTACTCCATTCAAGCATGTACTAGGTATAAGCAAATTGATATTGGATTAGCATTTGTTGGATATGTGTAAAATTATGTGTGTTGACATATCAACTGTCTTTACATGCTTGAAAGAATAAATAAATAACTAATGGTGCTTTGGGCGATATACTTTGTTGATCATCTGATTCAAAAACCACTTTGATCATTCTTTAAAGCCACTTGTAAAACAAAAACACAAAACCTACTTCTTCATGATAAACCATGAAATTCCAAAAGGTTCACATACTTTTTCTTGCCACTGTATGTGAATGTCTTTATATATTGTATATCTTTTATAATAATTGTATTTTTAATGTTTAAACAAATAAATCTAATGTGGGCTGTAAAGTGCAAACTGCCAGATCTAGACAGAACAAGACTCTGGGTTCAAGAAACTCTCTGTACAAGGCCTCTCTGTCTCTGGCTCAAGTCTGGCCCCCACTGTTCCTCAGAGCTAAGAAGAAATATGACACCCACTATCAACGATGAAAGGAGAGGAAAAAACACAAAGCAATCACTGAGGTTTTTTGTTTCTCTGACTCAGTTTTAATCTCAAAATCAAGAGATGAGATGTCACCACAACAAAACATTCAGCAGACACATCAGAATTTGTGCTTGTACTGCTCTCTAGTGGTGAAAATGGGGTATGTCATTTCAATATCCATCCATCCATTATCTATACCACTTATGCTAACGAGGGCCAACACCGGGAGAAAAGCGGGGTACACCCTGGACAGGTTGCCAGTTTAGCACAGGGCAGACACTCAGAGACCACCACACACACTCCTACGGGCAATTTAGAGTCACCAGTCAACCTAAGCTGCATGTCTTTGGACTGTGGGAAGAAGCCGGAGCACCCAGAGAGAACCCGCGCAGGCACAGGGAGAACATACAAACTCCACACAGAAAGGCCCCGGGTCAGCAACCTTTATGCTGTGAGGCCACAGTGCTAATCACTGCGCCACCATGCCGCCCGTCATTCCAATATCAGCAATACAACACCTGTCGTCTATCACATAAACTAACTTACTATTGGCCTACATGAGCAGCTTCTTAATGGTAGGATGATAACCTAAAAAACTTTTTAAATCATTTCTTTGCTTATTTGGAAGCATATTTATTGATTATCCAAAACTTCAGTGGAAATTTCTAGAATCAGTGCAAGGTCTACTATCTGTATAAATATGCACAAAACCCAAATCATGTGAAATTCACATTTTCCATAAGTCAGTATCTGTTCAATCAAACAGACCGCATATTCTACACAATGCACAACAATAAAAACAGTCAACACTTACAGAAGTTTCCAGGCGGCTGCAGGCTGTGCTTTGTCAGGGCACACCAGCCGACAGGGAAGATATCTCTAGAATCAAAGGGGCACCAGTAGTCGAAGGCACCTCGCCAGCCATCAAACATGACAAAAATCTCCTGACCTCTGACCTCTCCCACTGTTGCCGGACATATCAGGTAGGGGTTCTTCCTGTCCACCGCCTCCAGCTTCATACCAGGCTGAAAGTAGTTTTTAGCAGGGATAGGTGGGTCCTAAACATAATAAACATATATACAAACAAGCAAATAAATACTGCATATACACGACCTCTCTGTTTCAAGTCAAAACAAACAGCACTGCAAAAGGTAAAAGGAAACGATGCAAACTGAGTGAATCGTGTGCAGAAATGAATGTTTCATGATATGATTATCAAAGAAAATTCTCAATATTAACTCAATAATTCAGTTTCTGTGAAGCTTCTGCTAATACAATGCTGCTTTCTACACTTGCTATTATGCTTGACATACTGCATCTTTTTCCTGGCACTGTGTCTGAACTATATTACTGTAGGTGATATGTGAGGAGCTCCCCTTGTGTCCTGATGACTGCAATAATTACAGAAAAAAACAAAACTGTGCAATAAACTGTTGTTTCTGTTAAAACTAACTATAGATGCAGTGTTTCACAATTTTAATTTTTGAGACAAGCAAATGTTCAGTTTTAATGAACATCAGCACAAATTTTTGTCAGCTTCAGTACAAAAATATAACAGTAACACCCTCTCAGCTATCATTACCTTCTTAAAAGCAGAGGCAGGGGCCATCTCTGCTCCGCTCAGCGTCCGCAGGAGGAACATGGGCCACGAGGAGGCATTCATTCTGAAACCTGTGTTGGTATATTTTTGCATCAATGTGATGAAGCACTTTGATTTGTTGGGTATTCGATTTTCACTCTCTGCACCACACTGAAATTGCTGTGGTCAAGGTCACCAGTGACACATTCCCTTGCCGATGATGTAGGCCTGTATTCCATATGTCATTTATTCGTGTGCAGCTTTTCGAAAATTAAGACTTGGATCTCCAAAACCTTCCTGAAGTTCAATGTATATATAATTACCCACTTGTCACAGCAATAACAATCTCTCAACCAGCCTGGAGCACAACATCCAATAATGATATGATAAGCTAGATGAACCTGTTGACTCCAAGTTGTCCATGGACAGCCAGGTAACTAATCCAACTGAAACATTTAAGCAAGATCAAGTGTAATTTTATTTGCAAATCTATAAAAGCGTATCCACACTTTTCACAACAGTATTTATTCTGGTATTAGCAAGCAAAACATCCAAAAAGTACAAAATGCTGCTGTGAGACTAAGAACAGGCTTTAAGGGAAACAACCACACTATACCAACCCTTGCTGCCCTTCACTTTCAAAATCATTTTTTAAAGCCTGCAATGGTCAGTACTCCGCTTATGTCTGTGATTTGCTAACTCCCCTGAGCCTGATTGCTGCTTGAGATCCTGTGGCATACCAGCAGTTCCAAAATGTCGACTTGTCACCAAAGATGAGTGCCTTTGCTGTCCAGACCCCTCAGCTTTGGAACTCAGTGTCCTCTTTTAAATCTCTTCTTGTAACTCACTTTGATCAGACATGTATACACCTTTTCAATAGAAGACATTCTGACATGAGACAGGAAAAGCACAAGTGTAAATAATAAAATTAATGACGGACCATTTAGCTGCTTCAATTCTAGGGTCTGGGTATTGTACACGCTGGGTCACAATTACGCTGTCATGACTTACTGGGACACCGCAACACCTGTGCCTGTCCTACTATGGCATGCACACTAGGTACACACCCACACATCAGGTGAGAGTGAGTAAGTCACATAAAAATACAATAATATGAAGCTGTTGGCTGGAGCAGTTTAAAGACACTCACCCAGTGGTGGCTGCAGCATGTCTCCGTTTCGCTCACAGGTCCCTATAGGCTGGATGTCTGACGAATCAACCAGTCTCCAGAAGTCATTTGTGTTGTCGCTACCGTCCAGGCGCAGGCGCAGGCGAGTACCCATCATTCCCATGACCGTCGCAATGCACACTGAGTTAGAGTTGCGTGGGTCCCGTGCCTCAAGTTTCATACCTGCTTTGAAGTCATTAGAGGGGGGGACTCTGGACTGCAGAGACACAAAGAAACCCCCAGTGTCATTGTCACACAGGTTTGTATTGTGAGGACGCTTACGATCGGATGGCCCGTCTAATGTTGCTGCATTTACGAACTATTATGGTCAAATATTAAAAGGAGACACTGTTTATACTGTGATTTCATCTGTGTAGTTCAAGATTCAAAGAAAACACAGTAAACACCAAGTCAGGTCACTTAACTGGTTGATATAGGCTGACAGGTTACTATGCATACTGGGACTTCAGTCATATAAAGGATACGTAAGGCAGGCAATATCCTTAATTTTTGTCATAAAAACTCATCTAAAGATGAAGACGAACAGCGGGTTAGTGCTTTTGCTTCTGTGCCCATGTTCACAGTGATAAAAGAACTTGTCCCTTAGGACAATATCAAAATTTTAACTATATCAAAAATGCAAGAAAACGTTTAAGGAAAATAAATGTTATGGGGTCTTAAAAATGGAACTTAAAGACCAACTACCTGTTTGAAGCAAGTAGGCGAGGCTGCAGTGGAGGACGTCTCTCTCAGATAATCTTCCCAACTGAATGGTTCTAGCAACAAAAACAAACAAAACAAACTACCAATTACTTAATGACTGTTACAGGAAAGAGCAAGTTAAAACACTGCAGTACAAAAGATTTTAAGCTTCTAAGATCTTAGTTTGAAGCTTGTTTATACCACAGTTGCTAAATCTGCAGTTTATAGATGTTAATAAGAAATATGCCAGTAAATGTTGGTAAGAGATGAGGATAATCTTGGTCAAATTTAAGGAAAGTTCTCATAAAAACGTTACTTAAGCCTTTTGAAGATAGAGCCTATAGGTCTTAATATATAACTTGAGTTAATATATAACTAAGAAGCACCTTTGTTAGCCAACTCTCGAAATTACTAAAAAAAAAAGCAAACACTGTCACAGAACTGAAAAGTTTTGGGTTACACCAATAATTAAAGGATCAACAGTGAAGAGGAACAAGCGTGAGATCAGAACTTCCAACCATTAGATTTGTCGAGGGCAGAGCCTGCTGTGATGTTGCTTCGTCTCTCCTTCTTCTCCTCTTTTTGATCTGAAATCAAAACAGTGATTGAACCACTCACCAGAATCTGAGCGCTTCTGATATAAAAAATGTAGTTACTGAGAGAATGAAGGTATAAAACGTGCAACTGTTACAGCTCTGGGGGGAAAAAAGGAAACCACATTTCAACCATACCAAACACCAAAAATTCTAATTACATGGCAGGAAATGTCAGTGAGCATTTTGTGATCAAATTGGTGCAGCAGCCTAGCAATGAATTTGTGTGAGCAACGGTGGCAGGATGCACAAACACAGCATTGTAAGAGCCTACCTCTGTGTGGTGTTCGGCCCATGGTGACCAAAGCACTGCTGCAGAGGAGGTGAAGTCAGACAGACTGATACCTACACAAACACTGGAGAAGATAAAGTCCAACAATGTTTTAATAAGTGGCCAGGGTGCACAAACCTACTATAAGGTATGCTGTGGGTAATGTATGCTGAGGTCAATCCCGCTCAAAACCTAAAAGCTAATCTTTCTGCACTGCTGCCAGTGGCTTTGACAGCACCTTTCTACATTTAAGACAAGTTTTATCAAGTCCTGTGCACTGTCTTGCTGCAGTAAATATTCAAGTGCGCCAAATGTGTATTAATCCACAGATAAAATAGTCCCCAACAAACAGCCCATCTCTTCTAGAAATTTACTTTGTCTTTTTTATTATTATTATTATTGTGCTTTATATTTTCAATACATGCCAAAAACTATTTTATCTGCAGTAAAACTGGACTAAAAGCACCACACTTGTATATGGACATATTGTGGTTTTGGTATTTTTTTGGAATTTGCTGACAATAAGAAAATTACAGACTAGCCTATCATTAATTTAATGATAACATCCACACATACATAATCTCACAAAAGCAATCAGCCATCAGAATATACTAATATTACATGAAAATACTGTTTTGGTGTAGCTGGCTTCAGGGTCCATTCTGTATTACCAGAATCTTACAGGTAAACAGATATTAGTGGTGTCTAATCAAATGTACTGAAAGTTTCCATATCAAAAATACAAAAGGAAACATTAGATGCCAATAAAAATCATTTATGCATAGTTATCATGCAGCTTAAACACGTCCAAATAGGTTTAATCGTGCTGATGTAAAGAGATTAAAAACAAAAATTGTCCAACCAATGGCATAGCCCATATAAACTCTTCTGGCCATTTACTTCATATATAAAAATATATACAAGTGTTACCATGCTGTTTATGCCAAAAATATGGCTCAAAATTCAGGGTTACAAAAACTCTCAGCCTAGTCTGTGTCCATACATGGTGACAGCTCAAGGTACCAGAGTATCTCCAAAAAAAAAAAAAGAAATCCATTCCAAATGAAATCCAGAATTTCAAAGGTTAAAATCTCCTCAAAAGCAAGACAACGTCAACTTTCCTTGTGATTAAAAAGCTTAGCAGTGTATTGTGGCTGACCGTCCCTCCCCTCTGAAGACCACTCTGTCTCTGCAGAGGTACAAGAGGCCATAAAGATCCCAACCTGACATAAAAAGCCATTAAGACGTGTGGATGTGGGACGTCTGCCGGCCGACATGAAAAGGATTCCAGCTCTGTTACTCGCCTGGCTTCAGACTGGTTCACTGTTTGCACTGGTCTGTCTGCCTCACTTAAGAGGCTCAGACAAAATCGCTCAGCAGACCAGGAAGCACTTAATTTTTACAACCTCCATTTCCGCTAAGACAGCCACTGATCTGGGATTAATGTGATGTTCACAAACCTGAACAGGGAGAAGATCTAAAAAAAAAAAAAGACATGAGCCCTGGTTTCAGAACAGGCTCTAACTTTTGTCAGGAGGAGCCGTCAAAGTATTAGGGATAGCAGCATTTGTCATGTGCACAAAATGGGCAAAATTACACTTTACTCAAATACGCAAAAACAACATTATAATGTATATATTTAGGCTGAATTGTGAAGCATTTTACTGCTCACACAGACATCACGGTGTCATTTAATTATATACTATTCCTATTATATTATAGGAAACATTAACATTAAAAAAGCAATGAGCATGCTTTTCTTGATAAAGAAAGTAAGTGTTGTCTTCTGCTCACCGGTAACTGTTTTAGCACTAAACGGTGCATTGGTTTCTTTTAGGTGTTTACAACGTCAAAATAAGACAAACATCTTCATTTGTAATGAAATGATGCTCATTTTCACTCTGCATAATTAACACCAACTGGACATGTGTTTACACTGTTTCAGTGGATTGTTTTTTGTGCAAATAGAAAAAAACATTTTTGTAAAAACAGAGAAATAAGAGCCTTCAGTTCTCAGAGACCACAAGATGAATTTGACCACTATTTATGGCACAATTCAAAATAAAGTTTACTCTTGTTTTGAGCAATTAAAAACAGATGTCAGTAACTGTCTGAAATAAGTGCTACTTCAAACTTTGATATGAGTTGCAACTTGTGATTACTTACATCACTGATTAATTTAATGACAGTTTTAATCAAGTGATTTATCCTTTGGTTGACAAAATGTCAGAAAATCTTTTTTTTTTAATCACAATGCTCTAAAGCCCAAGATGATGTTGTATGACCAGTGAACCCAAAATATTTAGGTTGAGCTCACATAAGACCAAAAAAAAGAAAATGAAAAATGAGCGAATCTAGGGCTGCAATAATATATATTGCAAATTAAATTAAATTGTAACGTCTTTTTATGATACATTCATCATCTGAATCATTTATCAACCACAAAAATGCCACAGATTCGCTGGTTCTAGTCTCTCCCATGGGACAATTGGCTGATTTTCTATATGTCACTATGAAGTGTGTATCCTCAGGTTACAACTGGCCAATTGATCAGTAAGAAAAACACTGTTGTCACCTGTGCTGTATATCAAAGTGACAAAGGATTCATCTAATTAACTAATTAATTTACAACAGCAACAGAGAGCAGCAGCAAATTCTCACATTTGTGGAGCTGGAGCTACCAAAAGGAATTTGATGTCACCTTACATTTGCAATTAAGTTAAATCGGTTTATGTGGGTTTCCCCTGCAGGACATCCTTCATTAGACTAGAGGGGAAATAACTTTTTTTTTTTTTTTTGACATTCGACAACATCATCCAGACTGAAACCCACCTCCTGCTCCTGACCTGGTGCTTCCTCTGTCAGGCCAGACAGTGTGGAGAGGATGAGGAGGGAGTGAAGGGATCCCATTACTGCTGCTGAGAGCAGCGAGCCTGCAGGGCGTCACCTCCGGATCCTAACTTATCATATCGTTTCATCAATTTCTCACCAAAACTGTTGTTTGTACCAACATGTAAAATGAGCTGCATAAGACCCTCTGTTGAATCAGGCTGCATTTATGGTTGATAAACGACAGTAGGCTACTTTTCTTGTGGATTTGTGGGGTTTGTGTCGGGTGAAGAGGGACTACATGAGCAGAAGATGAAATTAAATGTGAAGAAAAGTCTGTGACGCATTTTCATTTGGATTACGGTCACATTTTGTGGGCGGGACAGTGGTCATTATACGGGCTAAACGCTGCTAACGTTACACTGTTAACAACGGGCGTGAAACTACAACGCTGCAGCATCGCGTCAGGCGATAGTGGCGGTGAAACCCTCTGCAGGAATTCAGTAAACAGAAAGCAAAGGGAAACCTGCGGTGCTCGGTGGAGCTACTGTACGCAGCGAGCTCCGTCTGCACAGAATACAGTATAAACACGCTCTGCTATCTATCACTGCGTTGACAAGGAGCAGGGAAACTGGCCGCTTCTGTCCGCAGCTCGGAAGATAAACGAGAGAGAAACCCGTCATTTGCAGCACAGGAGAGTAATAATGAGACATGAGCCGTACCAACCGTTTGAACTGGGTATTTTGATGGGAGATTCCTCACTTTCTATCAGATGCAAGCCGCCATATTCGCTGCAGCTCCGCGCATGTCCACCGCGCAGTGCTGTAATTCATAATTTTCCACTGGAGGTTTAAAAATATCAGAGACAGAGGGGGATATAATTAATTCGTCGCTTTATTACGGATAATGTTTCGTGTCGGCGTTTGATAATAAAAGACATGTCATACGGAAACGAAAAGCTGAACATTTAGGTTGCACCTTCCTGTGTTTCATGCAGGAGAAGGTGGCGAGGAAAACAGCGAGGACATAAACCTGCAGGCTCTGGAGGCTTTATTACTGTTTATGGACCAGTGCAATTAAAGGAGAGAAACTGGGAGATTATTGCTGGACAGACTGGTTATTAATTTTGGTGGAGGCAGCAGTATGAAAATACTCTGCATTCAAAAGTTTAAGTAAAACAATACAAAGGCAGGCTGTTTGCACATTTTACTTACGTAAGAATCAAAAGTAGGCTAAAAGTTCTCATTATGCAGAAATGGTGCTTATGGCCTATTATTTCAGTGTATTATTAAGACTAATGCAAATGAAACCTAAGCAGGATTTTAATGTTGCGGCTGCTGGGGGTAAATTTCAGCTTTGACCTGTATGAATCTTATTCCATATCTTTATTTCATATGCATTATAGAATGCTAATCTTGTTTTATGGTGACTTTAAATATTGGTGCTTATACACACATACTGTACATATTGTTTGTGCATATTTATAATGTTCTGTAAATTAATTTTTGCAGGATATGTTGTCTTACTCCATTTCAGTGTCTTTTTAACATCTAACCTACAGACTGGACCTTCTAAGATAAACCTCGCCGTTTTTCTCTGTGTGCACTGGCTCTATAAAATAAACGAATAAAAAAATAAATGAACTTAATTACCCTAGGATCACTAAAGTTGATCTGTGTTCTGTTTGTGACATTTTAATCAGTAAAGTAACCATGCAGTAAAAATGCAGTATGTTCCTCGGAATGTAATGGACTTTGCAAAACTGAAATCCCTCAAATCTGTCTTACTGTCCTTGAATAAATGTGCTTAGCTCCTTAACAAGGCGGATTATTATCTTAAAGATAATCATTAATAGTTAATGTCCAAACAATTCCGCATCTTTTTATATATTGTATATGGCTTAAGATTTTCCACTAGTGAAACTGTCACTGACAGAATGTGAAATAATTTCTTTCGAATCTCAAATGATAAATGTGGCATCAAATCTAGGTGAGAAAAATGTTCTTTGGCGAGGACTCCGACCAAATGTTCCACATTTTATGAGTACAACTCTGCACTGTGACTGTAGAGTTAAATGTAGTATGTCACTCCATATCTGACACTTTAGGTAGTGGCAGGGGGAACAATGAGCCACAGGGATGGTGTGGAGGTCAAAAAACACATGAGGTCTGGAGGAAGTCTGTGGCTGCAGAGTTCCATGTAGGATACACAATATTTATATTTATAACACCCATCACTATGAAACAGACTGCCCCATTATCTGGGAATCCGGTGGATTCGTACTGATTTAGCCAATTAGTGCAGTTATTGGGGGGTGAGAGAGAGAGAGTGGAGACGAGCTGCAGGGAGATTTTTAAATCACAACATGGATAAAATAAAAGGGGGGAAGGATGTAAGGATGTAACAGCACTACCAGGAGCTAATTATATAAAACCTGTGTATTATTGAAGGCAGATTCATATGTGGCATATTTAAGACTGCACTAATCATGAGCTGGGTTCAATTTCCATTATAAAGTTTTATTTTATCACAGCTCACAGTGGATAAGAAACCCTTGCTGGAACGCGACGTCCGTGCTCCTATTGGCTGTATGAGGCGTCGCTCAGAGTAATGACGACTTTGCTGGTATAACCAGCTGATGCTGAGGCTATGAGCACGGAGCCTGTGAAGAACTGTTGACGGTATATAAATAGTCCGTCATCGGCGTAATGCCTGCGGATTCGGGTTCATCTCCATCCAGAGACTGAGTGAGTAGTCTATTTGATCGTGTCACGACGCAGGGGCCTTTTCCCTCCTCATCGCTCCACATGATCTTTCTCCGTGTCCCTACATCATCATTTTTTATGGGCATGATGCTCCGAGTTTCACAGACTGAGCTTTCTCACCTCAAGCAGCCGACACGCCACAACTGCAGGTAAATGGGTTTCATCATCACTGGAAGGATTTAGGTGGATTTTTTATTGGCTTCTATGTTTTTGCGTGCGTTAAATTATGTCTAAATGTGGGTTTACAGGTAAACAGATATTAGTGGATTTTGTTGTGCAACACTGTCGTGAACATGGTCCGTGAACTACGTTGTAATGTATGCACTGGTTGCTGTGTAGGCTGAGAAACGCGTGGACAGCGATGGAATGATGGTGCGCTCCGCAACGCAGCGATGAGACGCAGTTTCGGTGCAGAGAGAGCAACATTACTATCCTCTCTCAGCTTCGCTCTCTCATCTCATGTACACACGCGCGCACACACACACATGTTCTCGCGCACGCGTACGCACGCACCTGCCTATTACATTCACACTCCCGAGCTCAGTCATTCCCATGGTTTTCTTTGCGTGCTGACACCAACAGGCGTTTGCTGCAAGATTAACACAGTCCATTCTGTCCGTATTTTCAGGACTTTCACGGTGATCTTTCCACCTTATTTCCACTGACCAGCTGTCTGTCTGATTGCTGCAAGGATGAGCAGCAGCTTATAAACCGACTCTGTGCTGTACCCATTTTTAGGATCATTATTTCTTCTTCAGAATAGGTAATAATGCATAATAGACTGTTCCAGTTGTAGGATTTTTGGGCATAATTGTCTATTTTGAGTATCTCCTCAGTGGCAGAACCAATCCTTAAACGAGTTGGATGGCCTCAACATCCACCTGATCTGTTCCCCTGGAAAGACTTAGCTGTGTGGAGTGTACACTGCATAGGAAACCACCCACACAGGCATATGAGCCAAATCAACATTAAAGTTTTTTTTTCATTGCTGAATAAATCAAGTGTTATACAAATGAATTTGGACTGATACTGTGAGAAGCTTTGATGGTTCCAGTCCAACAGCATTCACATTACAAAAGAAGCATTTAATAACCATAGTCAGTTTTTGGATATGTGACAGAATGAGATCTAATCCTTTGGATATAATTATTCTAAGCCTTATTTTTCTTCCTAAAACAAAAGTGGGAACTTGTGAATGTAGAATATGGTCTTGAAAATTGGGGTGAAAGATAAAAGGAGTGTGCAAACTGAGGGCTAAATATCAGCACACATGAATCAGAGTTGTGAGACTCTTAAATCATCTCACATTTCAACCTATTCAGTTCAACATGTTGAATGTGGCAGCAACATAGAGCTGCAGGTAATTATACGGTGGGTACAGCACAAAGTGCAGCTGAGGCTGACGGGAATGCAGCATGTATTTTGTCAGAAACCAAAGTGATGAACACATTTTGGTAGTAAAATTGTGTGCTAAATTTAATGGAAATCCATCTGCTGCTATACTATCAGCTTCGAGCCTGTACTTTGAGACAATTTTGCTTTGAAATAAATGCTAATATCAACTTGCTAACATATCCGCAATAACAATACTAACATGGTGACGTTCACCATCTTAGTTTTTGTATTTCATGCTAACATTTTCTAATTACAACAAAACACAAAGTACAGCTGAGCCTGATGTAAACAGTTTTGCAGGTCTGTACCAAAGTGGCGGTCAGACTGACAGACAGTAAACTACAAATTATACTGTATAGTCGTGCCAGTCATTAAACATTCACTTTAGACTGTGACCTTTGCAGCATCCTCTAGATTGAATGTGTGGCTCAAAGAAATAGAAGGGATAGGATCATTGTGTGGAAGTCATGCTGAAGTAATTTAAACAGGTCTTCAGGGAAATACTGCCTTTTTTGCACATCTGCATGTCCTAGTTAGCCACCATCTGTGCCAGGAATACCACCAGCATGCTTCTGAATGTGCAAGGAATGATGGGAAGTTGGATCTTAGCTTGACCCTTTAACAGCATATTTTAACATCTTACTTCTCCTGTGTTTTTTCTGGTCTTCCAGGTATGGCTGTGTGGAGGTTTGGATGGAAGTATGAGGCTGACAACCTCAAGAAATGGAATAAAGGGAATTAGGAGACAACTTGAGCCAAATCTATAAATAAACAGAGGTGACATTTTAAAAGCCTAAGCCTGGGAAAGAGCTGCAGAGTGAGGAAAGGAGAAGGTGAAGAAGAGGAAGAAGGCGAGTGAATATGGGGGGTGCTCAGATGTTTACCACATTTCTCCTGGACTCTAAGGTTCACTCCATCAGCCACCAGTCAAATTAGGAGTCTCCTCAATAAAATCCGAGCAGCTCATTTCACCTGCTGGAAGAGCCCCTACCCTCGGTGATGTGATGAATAAGTTTGAAGTCCTTGGCATTGTGGGAGAAGGTGGGTGGTTTTACACACCAGATCCTACTGTATGTTTGTAGAACACAAGGACTGTACGAATTGTTGTTTACCTGCAATTCTGATCCTTGTGATCACAACCACTGGGGTCATGTGCAGTGTATTTTTTTATATAGAAATTTTGACATTTTAGCAGCCTATGGTGCACTTTACATTATGCATCTGAAATCTACACATCGATGTTATTACTGATTTTGTTCCCCACACCGGTGTCACCCTTCCAGATCTGCGGCATCGAACCGTAGTTGGGGGCCTCTGGTTCATAGCTAAACTGCTTTAGCCCTGGCTCCTAGCCAGTAAATGAACCTTAGAGGTCCGGGCTTTTCCACTGGGGAGAAGTGAAGACTGAGGCCAATTAACGCCGTTCAAAACACAGGCTTTGTTCCATCTTGGCAACACAAACACTGCACGTGGCCTTTGATGCCCAGTTAACTGCATTACAATCCTACATATACACTTAGAGCTGACTACTGTCTGGCTGCATGTAAAAGGTGTCTGTTCCGTGTGGTGGTCTTCTTGCTCTCATACTGCGCACACAAGTCACAACCTCCAGCAACAACAACAGCATTACAGTCGCAACCTCCAGCAACAACAACAGCATTACCTATAAGGCTGTATGTCTTAAAGGGGATGGCCTGGCCTGTAACAACGGCTGTGGGTACCTTCTTGGCCATAGCTCACTAGCTTTAGCTGTAAAACAGTCTGCCTGTAATTGCAGCTCCTTGTGGGAGGTTCTTGGCTCAAGCATTTAGTTCATGGGTCAGTGCATTTAGTGCAGCCATTGCCATTGGGATGAAAAGAGACTTTCCAGACATGCAGCAAAAATGCTTCTGAAAATAATCATCAACCCTACCTTTAAATTACTATCAATGAAATTCATCTCTTCCTAGATTGGTATTTCACACTGAAGGGCTTCCATGCTCCAAGGGCATGATCAGTCCCTTTCCATTCCATTGGCATTCAGTCTGCAGAAAGTGTCAGACGATAACTAAATTACAGAGCAGAAGCAACAATGAATTAAAATATTTGCCTTAAAAAGAGAATAAGGGCTGCAGAGAGGTGCATCTGGCATGAGCAAGTACTTTAGAAATGCACAATATGATCAGTTTACCATGTGAGCTATCTGAGCACAGGCAAGTCCCACCCCTGCCCCCAGTACCCAGAACCAAACGTTGCCCAGTCTTTAAATGTTCACCCCTGGCTATTATTCAAAAGTCTGCTGTTGTTTGAATTTACAGTTAATGAACACAAAAACAAATCATGAAGACCTTGTGGCTGCATGTATTATGACTCTTGTCTTCTAGGAACAAATGAGAATGTAGTTTGACATGGGAATAGCTATGCATAACCTTGTAGTGAGGAAGTCAAGGTTGGATCTAAAAGGCATGTGTTAACATGAGAGCCAACTGTTCATTTCATATTTTG